TCGGGGGGGGGGGGGGGGTCTTGAGGGAGAGTCTGTAGGTCAGAACCTGCTGTATGCTTCAACAGGGAGGGTCTTATGATCCTATTGCGCAGTTCAATTTTTGAGCTCTTGGTATTTACCTTTGTTCAACTGGTAATATCAAGGAGGAAGGCTATCAGACGCAGGGTCTTCAAATTTGATCATGGCCAAAAGGGCTGTTTGTCAAGAGCTACTGCAGTGAATCTGTCCACCAAAAGAGATTCAATGTGCTCGTATTCCCCGAAGAAGTCTTTTGCTAGGTATGTTTTTAGGGGAGGGCTCTGCTTAACCCACTCGCCGGACTAGGTGGATGACCACCAGCGAATCCTGGATATCGTATGTTTTTTTTGGGTGGTATTAAAAGATTTTTTCCGGAGAGTGACAGCATTGGTTGGCTCTGTGGTTGTTTACGAGATGGAAACCATTCACTAAAAAAATTCTCTCAACAACCGTGTCTTCACGACAGAAACAACACGGTTTTTGGCCCTCCCTGGTTGGCTGCAATTTTCGCATCTATTTGGCGATTCGTTTCACATCCCGTATGCTCCCTCCCTGTCACGAAACCAGTCAGCAGGTGGATGTAAGCATTTTCGAATGGTCTAGGATATGTGTTGCCCAGACTCTTGTGTGTGTGTGTGTGTGTGTGTGTGTGTTTATTTAACGCCCGGTTAGTCCACGTGCCTTATGGTCACGTGATCTAGTAGAGTCCGCGTCGAACTATAGGGCGGGTAGAGCTGCGCCCGTAGGCGACTACCTATCTAGTAGCTATCTTACAAATGAGGCAAAAGGGTTGCGTATTGCTGCACCGGCAGAGCCCATGGGTCGGTTGCCATAGAGCAGAGGTTTTGAGAGGTTTTAGGTTTGTGGGAGGGAGGTAGGGGAGGCGGATAGGAAGGAAGGCAAGGAAGGGAAGAAAGGGGAGGAGAGAGAGGAAGGAGGAGGAGGTGGTGAGGAAGACGGGGGCAGGACAGAGGAGAGGATGGACTGTGGGATCTGATCTGGAGGTGCGCGACGGCGCATTGGACAGATATTCTGATAGAAGGCTGTTTCTCTTAGCCAGTTATTGAAATCTAGGGCCCCACGCGAGGTTGCCAGTGTCTCGCGAAGATTGTAGATAGGCCGGCGCCGCTTTGCTGCTTTTCTTGCAAGAGTGCAATAGTAGAAATGTTCTGGGGTTTTGCTATGTCCGCACCGGCAGTAGCACTCTGCATCTTCATGCTTAAGGCGGCTGTGGTAGGCTGCAAAGTCTCCATGACCTGATCGGGCGGCATAGAGCTTTCTTAATGTGAAGCGTGAAAGTTTTGCCTCTGTTGAGGCTCTCTTTAGTGGGATCTCCAGCTCCATATAGCGTTTGGGCCGATTTTTGGCCCAGTAGTTCTCAAAGGCCCGTGTGGTTTGTTCCATAGTGTGCCGCTTTATATAAGCTAGAGTGCCTATGCTGTCGGGTTGAGGTACCATGCTTGCACTTGCTGCCTGCGCTGCGGCTGCTTTGGCTTCAAGATCTGCCTTTTCATTACCAGCCACGCCTGCGTGGCCTGGGACCCATCTAATGACCACCCTGCTCTGGGTGGCCAATGGGAGCCTATCCCTGCTCTGCCAGGCCTTTATGGCTTTCAGAAACTGCGCGAAGACCTGCTGGCTAGAGGTGTTTGGCACGGATCCAAGGGCTCGTGCTACCTCCAAATTATCTAGGCAAATGTAGACGTTGCTGGCAAACTTCGCCTGAGGTGAGGTGGTGGCTTCCTTTAGGCCCTGCAGGGCTGCCATTGCCTCTGCATCAAAGACCTCTGCTTTATCCATTGGCAGGTTTCCTGTGGAGATTAGACGGTGTTCGCTACCCCAGCATATAGCCCATCCTGCACCAGTCGCGCGCTGAGGGCGCTCTATCTGTGAACCATCGGTGAAGACCACCAGATCCAGGGGATTGCGTTGTTGTAGCCAGCTCTTAAAGTCTTGTGCTGCCTGTTCCTTTGTGCGGCCTGCCACATACCCAATCTGCAGATCTTCTTTCCTGGGAAATCTCATCCAAGGGGGCGTGAGTAGAGGGTCATATGCTTCTATCCCACCAGCATGACTGGACGCTCTAGACAGACGTGTGGTATAGGGCTTGGTGGTAGCTACTTTATTAGAGCGCCTCACTAGCGGGTGCCTCTTGTCAAGCTTTTTGATTCTTACTGCAAATACAGCACGCCGGTTGTCTAGTGTCTCTTTCATTGGCATGATTCCTAGCTCACGGTGTAGAGCTGAAATGGGTGTGGTCTTGTAGACTGGCAGTGCCCCTCGCAAAGCATCTCTAAGGGCTAGATCTAGCTTTCTGACTAGGCAATCCATTCGATTGGAGATTTCCTTTCCCTTCTCCATTCGTGTGGCTCCAGGCCACCAGGCCTCTGCTCCATAGCAGAGCACAGAGAGCACACAGGCCTGAATGGATTGTCTAAGCAGTTGTACTGGGGCGCCTCTTGCCGTGTTGCTTAGTGCCCGTATGCCATTAGACACCTGTCGTGCCTTAGCCGCCATGGTCTCCACGTGTTTCTTGAAGCTCAGTTTTCTATCTAGCCAGATTCCTAGATATCTTATGGAGCTTTTCACTGCATTTGCTGTAATAGAGTGAGTGCCAGATGTTGTTTCAAGGTCAATTGAGGGGTTTGAAAGGATTCTGCGCCGTGTGAAGTGTGCTATCTCAGTTTTGGCAAAATCAAATGTTAGCCCTTCTTTGCTGGCCCAATCATTTAGCAACTTGAAATCCTCCTGGAGAGTAACAACATTCCCTTCAAGGGTGGTTCCAGCACTAAGCAGTCCTAGGTCATCTGCGTAGCCTGAGCGTGCACGTCTTCTTTGTATAGTTCCTAGAAAGAACAGAGGCTGAATAAACAGCATGAATAGAATAGGTGAGACTGGCGAGCCTTGTGGAAGCCCTGCTGGGATATCAAAGAGCTCTCCCAGGAGTCCATCCAATCTGATCCTGCCTGTGCGTCCTGTCATGAAGCTTTCCACCCATCTAATTAAATTTGGTGGCCAGCCTTGTTCTTGCAATCTCCGCAGCATCCTTCCTCTGAGTACAGCATCAAAAGCACCCTTGATGTCCAGAGTAAGAAGAGAGACTACTTTTCCATGGGCCCAGGCTTCCTCTATATCATGAACCATCGCTGCCACTAGGTCTGAGGCAGCCCGCCCAGGGAGGGCTCCAAAGTGCTGGGGGTGGACAATCTTCTCTTGTATAGCTGTCCAGGCCAGCCTACGGGCTACCAGGCGTTCCAGTCCCTTCCCCAACGTTGAGAGAAGGGCTATGAGCCTGTAGGATCGCGGGAGTGTTGGATCTCTGTTGACCTTAGGCAGCACAACCAGTGTGGCATCTCGAAAGGAGGTTGGGTGCCAGCCAACCCTAAGGCAGGCTCTGAACAGCCTTTCCACCGATACCTTAATATGTGGCCATGCCTTTCGTAGCACCTCTGTTGGCACTCCATCAGTTCCTGGAGTGGTATTACCCGTGTTCAGCAGAGAACTTTGTATCTCATGTGCTGAGGCAACAGGAAATGGTAATTTGACAGATGGTGGGTTGGACCAGCTAACTGGGATATCCTCTCTGCTTGCAGCCTTCTGTAAGAGCACCCGTTGCAGAAGGTCTCTTTTCTCTCTAGGGGTTGTTCGCGTTCGCCCAGTCTCTTCATCTACAAGAGGGGGGGAATGAAAGGAGCCAGTTGAATGGGCCCATTTGATCATCTTAAAGATATCTTTCCCCACTGAGGCCTCTGCTATCTTGCCTCGCCAGTATTCTCTCTTGGCTTTCCTGGTGATCCTGGCTACGTTGCTTTTTGCTTCTCGTAAAAAACTAGAGCCTAGGCGCTGTGCACGATGTAGTGTTGTCACTGCTTTCTGGCAGTCCTCATTCCACCATGGCTGACCTGTGCCTTGCCCGGTGCTCTTCTTGGTGGAACTTTCCAGGGAAGCTATTAGTGCATCTGTGATACCTTTAGCCAGGGCATCCAGCTGATCTGTATTGGGGTACTCTGGGATATCACATAGTTTGTCTAGTTTTGGCTTATAGGCCTCCAGCGTCTGGTTAAAGACCTTCTCATTCATGGTGTCGAGACGGAAAAAATGGGGTGGCCTGTCAGGCCTTGCGCCCTGTGGAAGGCTGATTTTGGTGAGAAGAGTCTGGTGGTCAGAGGAAGTGTAAAGGGATCTGTCCACCTGTGTGTCCACTCCTTTGATAACTAATTCCGGGGTGGCCCAGGCCAGGTCTATCATGTTATGCCCACGTGTGGGGGTGTCTGGGTCCATGGTGAGAGTAAAGTTGAAATCCATGGTCCATTGCAGGAATGGTTCCGCCCACATGCTTGGAGGCACTCCTGGTTGCCACACGGGGTGCTTCATATTGAGGTCGCCAGCAAGGAGCAACGGGAGTGCTGGGACAGACCAGGAGAGAAGACAGCCCACACCTTGTCCAGGATCCTCTGCGCCTGGGGGTGCATTGTATATGTTGACTGTCTGAAGCTGTAGACCCCAGGCCTGTATGTGCAGCATGTGGATGTCCCGGTTTTCTGCCCAGGGGCCTGGGACTGCATGAGCATGGATTTGTGGGTGTTTACGCACATAGGTGAGGACCCGTGGCTTCCTGTCCCACTTTTCAATTGGGGCAAAGCAGTTGAATGCTGGATGCTTTTTGGAGATGCGTTGGCTTAAGTTCCTGTGAATCCAGGGTTCCTGTATGAGAAGGATGTCAGTCTTTCTTTCAAACGCTAGATTGAGGGCCGTCTCGTGTGCTGGGCCCCCTTTTCCTACGTTGACTTGCATAATCTGCAGGAATTGCGGGGACCTAGAGTTCTTCTTCATTGAGTAGCTGAAAGGAGGGTGTTGTTGCATGAGGTGACATGTTGGGTGTTGCATTAGGTGTTGGGTTGGACACCATGCCTAATGCTGTGCCTGATGCTGTGCTCAATGCTGTGCTTGGTGCTGTGTTTGATGTCAGCGTGAGGTTAGATCTACACTCAGTAGAGTCATTCAACCTCAGGTCTGCTGATGGACCTCAACCACCGCATTTGCTGTTACTTGCCTTGGCCAAGTATGCCTTACTCTGTGCATTGCAGATATCCCTCAGCTGGTTTCTTGAGTGCCTTTGAACAGTCCCATTCTTTATCCCTGGTCTGGCGGGGCAGGATGGATCATCCGCGGCATGTGGTCCAAGACAGTTAGTGCAGTGATTGGGGCATCCACATGCTTCATTCTTCTTATGACAGGATGGATTTCCTTTCACATGGTTCTTAGAACTGCATTTTTTGCAGTGAGGGACGCGGAGGCAGTATCTCTCTTGATGAAATCCCCAGCATTTGCTGCATTGTTGTATTTTGATCTTAGGTGCCTTTCTGATCACTGGTCTTTGATATCCATATAGTTCCACTTTTGATGGCAGGTTTACTGCTGTCTCTTGTGAAAAGTGTAATATAAGGGTGACTGTTGGGTTTCCAGGGTGTATTTTTGCCCAGCGACTCTGGACAGGCTTGATTCTGGTTTGGAGTGTGAATTCTTCTGTCATGGATTCTGCTGAGAGACGCAGAGTTCCACCATCATAGTCACTAATCTCCATGGGCAGCCCAGGAATCAGGCAGGTGATCCAATGTTCTTCCTTCTCTATCTGAGCATTGGTGAGAGTGGCTGCTAAAACATTCTTTTGGGCTAGCAGGGCCTCCATGTCTTGCAAGCTTCTAGGAATGATGGCAATGCCTGTGGGGATGGCTTGAACTGCTGTGATGGCTGCTGCCAAAGGCCCCGGGAGTTCAGCCTTCAGCTTTCTAAGAGTAGCAATTGGGCTTGCTTTGCGAGCTAGATGATCTGAAGGCAGGCGCGCGAGGATTCGTGGTGTTTTTCCTTCTCTGGGGTTATTCCTAAGCAGGGGTTTCTGCAGTACAGTTGCTGGTGTTTTTGTTGCATTGGTGCTGTCTGCAGCTGTCTTTGCATAGGTAGGAGCACTTGCATCATTTGCACCAGTGGAGCCAGCAGGCTTGATTGTGGTGGACTGCTTAGCTGTTTCTAGACTTCCATTGTACCAGTCCTTGACTAACGCCTTCACGGCGGCTCCAAGGGCCAGTGCCCTTGATAGGCCTTTTGCCTTCATGATATCTAGGTCTTCTTCAATCCGATCAAGCATATTTGCAGCAGCTAGTGCTTCTGCATGGGATTTCTGTGCCTCAGCCTCGTGGGCGGCTAGGAGATCGCTAGCCATCGGGCCACGTAGGTTGAGACGTATTGGTGCGACATTTCTGCTCTTTGAGCTGCCTGCTGGTGTAGGGGAGCTTGGAGGCTCCATGTCATTCAGTTCACATGTGCGGCGGGCGATTGGGGTGAGGAGATGGGGTCTCTTGGGTGGACGGCGTATGGGGGAGCAGATGCGCGTCAAGGCTCGGGACGCGTTCGGTGGTGTTGGGGGGCTGGGCGCGCTGGCAGCGCTGCGTCGGCACGCCATCAGGCTTGCTGCCTGAGGGGATGGGAGAGAGCTTATAGGGATGTGATCAGGATTGATTAAGATGTTTGACTGATGAGAATGTCGTTGCCCAGACTCTTGTGAAAATAGTCCGAGTTAGGTGGTTTACCTAGGTAGTCCAGATAGTCATATGACGTAGGGTATTGTTAAGAATTTCGTTTTGAGGCGTGCAGTTCCTCCTTGCTTCACTTAGAGATATACATAGGTTGCAAGATAGCCAATAAATATGCTGGTGGTTGTTGGGGAACGTTCTGAACCGATATCTAAGAACAAGGTTTAGGGGAGGAAGCAATGACAGAGAATTATTTACGACCCCGAACCCAAGGAACACAAGATCACATATAACATCTCCTTCTCCTCATTAGCGATTGAGAAATCCCTTTCGCAGATGCACAAGGGCATTTGATATCTGCTCAATATATGAGCTTTGCTGTGGTTGCTGAATTGGCAGATATAACTATGGATTAGTATCTTCACTAGTTTTGTGGATAACAAACGGTGGGGGAATTGGAATACTAGGTTGGTAGCTACTTGGGACCATTAGTCTCCGGCAACCATAGATGAGGTAGAAAGAGGCAAAACTCACTGCCCAGTATTCATGTCATTACAGAGTTGTGGACATTCACAGCTGTGTTCTCCATATGAGTATCACTTGGAAGGTTGAAGTTAGGAAGCTAGTGGGGTTTAACTAAGGAAACATCTTCCTCGCGTGTAATTCACTCAGCATCCAATTAGCCCACGTAGCTCAATGGTCAGAGCGTGCGGCTTTTATCGACCTAAACTCTAGGCGCAACCGCAAGGCTGCGAGTTCGACCCTCGCCGTGGGCTGCTATTTTCACCTCCATTTTTCCTCTTTTCCATTTCTTTTCCCATTTGGGTCAACGTTTGATGCCATTTTCTTTTTTTAAATTGCGATTGAAATTGTCTATCATAGACAATATTTCACCAAAATCTTCAAAAACTCCCATCCGAGGACCTAATCACCACGTGATACAGATTTTACAGATTTTATAATCAGCATTGGCGATCGAAAATTTACGGTATCCATCACCATCCAACGATCAAATATGGATAGAAATTCAAACAGCTACTTTCAGGATGTAGAAACGTGCGGGACACTATGTTGTTGAGGCTGCTGATTTCTCCCACATGGAAACCCACCTTTTCACACTCAGCAGCAATTATTCGTTCCAGAACTCCTACACTGCAAGCAATCCAAAACATAAATCCTCAACCCCGAAGCGACCTCATCTGCTCCCGCTTCAAGCGCCTAACCACAAGCCACCCCTATTATGAGATCCAGAATCCCTCTCGGGGCCGGCGCTCCCTCAGCACGGGAGTTGTTCCGGCGGTGCTTGTGCCCCCATTGGTCTTTGTGGGATTGGCTTTGACGCTGTGGTTCTACAAATGCTTGATGATGGTGGTTTTTCAGAATAAAATCATATATATGCCTTCGATCCCGCCATTTTCTCGGAGTGAGAAGATTGAAGATTATGAGATGGGGTGTCGACCTGTGCATTGGGAGGAAAAACATATTTGCTCGTTAGATGGGACGAAGATTGCCCTTTGCATTGGGAGCTTGTCAAGGCGAAAAGAACCCGGGTTCTTGTTAAATGGACAGAGCAGAAATGGCAGAGGGAGGAAACATGTAGTTGTGATGTATTTTCAGGGGCAAGATATTCCGTTCACACTTTCCAGGAATAAATATATATAAGATCCTTAAAACTAACAGTCCCATAAAGAAATGCTTCCTCTCTCCCACCACGACTCCCGTTCCTATCCGAGCCACTTAAATCCCTCTATAATAAAACTGGAAGTCAGACCCAGTTCACCATCGTTGCCCTGTCTTATCGAGGATATTGGACATCACGCGGTCGAGCATCGCAGAGGGGAATAGAGCAGGACGCTCTGGCTGCGTTGCGGTGGGTTCAGAACACATATGTTCTGGACGGTGAACACACCCGTCTGGTAATTTGGGGCCAGAGCATAGGTGCCGGTGTTGCCACCGGCCTATTAATGCAAAATCTATCAAGCAGGGCCACCAATCCCGTGAGGGTAAATGGCGTCATTCTTGAGACGCCCTTTGTGAACACTCGACGCATGTTGGAAGCCCTCTACCCGCAGAAATGGCTCCCGTATCGCTATTTGTGGCCGTTTCTACGTAGTTGGTGGGATTCGGAAGTGGCATTGAAGGCTGTTGCTAAAACTAAGCCTGGGAGGGATCTTCCGTTTCTTATCATCTCTGCAGCTAAAGATGAGATTGTTCCCTCTGAGCAGGCGGATATGTTGGAACAATTGGCATTAGAGCTTGGCCTTGATGTAAGCCGTCAGATAGTTTCTGGGGCCTTGCATACGGAGGCAACAATTAAGTCTGAGGGCCAAGAAGCTATTGTTCGCTTTCTACTGAAAGTTGGAAATTCTATCTGAATGCTTGCATAAATATGGAGCGCTTACCTTATATGCAGTGGTAAGTTTGCATTACAAACAGGGAGTCAAGCTAAATCCCTCAAGATTCTCTATCGACTTCGTATGATTTTGTTTTAGACCTCTCTCTCATTTCTCCATTTGTTACCTCTGAGTATGCAGATGACTCTACCTGGTTCGTTCTCTAATCCTTGAATGCAAAGGGGGGCCAAATTTCAAGTCGGCCTCGGCTTGATCTACGTGATAGCTTCCAGCTACGAGGACTATCTTATATCGCGATCACGATTTCTGAGTGTTATTGAATCTCGACACACACACACACACACACACACACACACACACACACACACACATTTCCAAGTTGTCGCAGTGCACTCGTATACTTCATTCAGCATAAATTCAGGTGTTATGTTCCAAGATGCTTAAACCCTCTAGGCACTTCACAGGGTCACCAACTTTCTCCTCCCTCCTAAAGCAAGACAGAAAATATGGAATTACCACTCCTGCACATCCTCGACTCCTTCAACCTCCCTATTTCCACTATTCAGCTTGAACAAGGTAATAGTGCACCACCCAGCCTATCGTTATCTTGGTCAGGGCAATAGTATTCTCCTCCCGCGCACCTACTGATCTTAAAAAGGATCCAGGGCGCCGCAGAAACAGAGCATGCCGCCAAAATTCAGCATCAGTTCCATAAGCTCCAGATGAACAAAAAAGGGATGGGAAAACACTGGAATCAGGTTGCGGAGCCCTTAGTCGCAATCGCAACTGCTACTTTTTCTGGTGCTTGGAATACTTTTAGCTATGATATACCCTAGAAATATGTTGCAAAGAATACATGGAACGCTGCATGGGTTATCCGTTGGAAGCCGGAACCGGAAGCGGGTCGATGGGAAGAGATTCTTCTTGCATCGAGTGCGCTTCATAGGGATCTACGAGAACGATTTGGTGGAGTAAAGTGTCTTGAGGCACCTCCTTTTCATGCGGCATCAGCAGCGGAAGCATAGATGGGCGACGGGGGATCGAGTTGTGGGAAATGGATACATCCGATTTTGGTATTTGATAGAAATAGTAACTGTATGGGGTTACGATGGTGAAGCTAGCATTATGGTGGAACCCTATCAGTGTCTATTCCTCAAGCTTTTATCATTGCGCAAACCCATTGAGATGCCGAGCAAGACACAGCTGGTCTATGGAAACTTGGCGGGGAATGTGAGAATGTTCTTTTTACAGGTCAAGATGATGAGAAGGCGGAAGAAGGAGAAAAATACCTGGCATTAGCGACTTATCGCTCTACTTTCGGCCCGTGGAATTCGCAGAGGCAACCATAGGTGCTGATAGGCTGTTGTGGTATGTTGCGGGTGAGGAGCTTATTAGGCTGATTGGCGTAGGCAGATATCGATTACGGATGCTGGTGAGAGCGTTAACTTTTCGTATCGTGGCTACGAGTGAGGGGCTGAAGGAGACTGGAGTTGATGATGATGGGGAGCGTGAGAGTTTTGAGAAGGCGGTTGGTGCAGTTAAGGGGTTGATGGAGGGATGAGAATATGGACGTACCCACGTAATACCCAGCGGACCTTTTGGATGAGGTTTTGGGTGGTTTTCAAAGGGAGTTCGATATTACAACTTACTGTGTCTCCCAGCAGAGAGCTTTGGATAAATGCAATATACAAAAATGCTTTCTACTCACTTCGCATTTCAGCCCCATCTGTCATCATGATACCATGAGAAGAATGAGAATTTACGAGCCACAGCATATATATATTATATTGGGGTCTGATGAAGATCATAAATTGGCTCGGGTCTAAATCACAATCCAACTTGTTTCGGCAGCGCAAATGTTGTCAAAGGAGGGGTGTCATTGCAGTCGCCGAGGAGATATGATACCTAGTCATCCTTCGATCAGGCCCCACATTGCTTCCTCCACTCACCCCTCTTGCTCTCAAACATCCACCATCTTGAAATCCTTTAAAGAGATTTTTTATTTTTTTTTATTTTTATTTTTATTTTTATTTTTTAAATTTAGCAAAACTGCTGGATTTCGACAGGATGGGGGATTTGAAAATAAGTCAGGTATGTATTGTTTTTCCCATAGGATATTTCACTAAAACCTACCTGGTAAAGGGAAAACATATTCCAAAGGGATATAATATTATATCGCGAAAAAAATATCACCAGCACCATTGCTCTAGCAATCAAAATGATGCGTTTGACACCCCCTTCAGCTTTATATCTACCCCATCAAGTCCCTCCGTGGCACTCCGATCTCTCACTCCCGCATAACCCGCCACGGCCTTGCCTACGACCGCCGCTTCATGCTTCTCAAGGTAGAGCATGATAAAACCTTGAGGAACATGCAAATCAGCAAATTCAACGAGATGTCTCTGTTCAGGACAGACGTCTTATTTCCCAGGAAGTCTGCTGAAGGGGCCACTACTGAGGAAGGTAAAATTGTGGTCAAGTATCAAGCTCCTGTTGGGCATCCTGATCGGGATGTTGTCAAGGAATTGGAGATTCCCCTCGAGCCCGCAGATGTCGAGGGGCTGAGGATTGTGGAGGTGGATATGTATTCAAGCGCGTGCAAGGCTTACGATATGGGCAAAGAGTATTCCAACTGGTTCTCTGGGTGTTTTGGGTACGAGGTCATCCTGCTGTATTTGGGTGAGAATCGGAGATTGGTTCTGGGGGATCTCCCGCCAAATGCCGCAGCAAAGGGGAGGACTACAGCTGAATCTCAATCTCCATCAAATAAACGAGGCGGTTGGATGTCCAGCATCACAGAAGCTTTACCATTTTTTGACTACGACACTTCATCTTCTACTGGAAACAGCGGCGATGACGACGAATGGATCACCTTTGCAGATATAGCAGCCTACCTCATCGTTTCAGAAACGTCCCTTCAAGATGTATCTAGTCGCCTCCCAGAATGTGAGGCGATGGACATCTCTAAATTCCGTGCAAACATCGTCCTCTCCGGAGCGGCGGAGCCGTACGAAGAGGACTTTTGGGGAGAAGTCACAGTCAAAGACGATATAAAATTTACCCTAACATCAAATTGCGCGAGGTGTCGGAGTATCAATGTCGACTATAACACGGGAGCACAAGGCATCGGTGAGTCGGGAGCCGTGCTGAAGAAATTGATGAAGGATAGAAGGGTCGATAAGGGCTCTAAACAGCGCCCCGTCTTCGGGAGATACGGGTTTATCGATAAGGCTTCCGGGGGTGCGTATATAAAAGTTGGTGATGAGGCGGTTGTGTCAACAAGGAATAAAAAGCACACAGTTTTTTGTAAGTCTAAGTGCCATCTGTCCTTTCTCTGAGGCTTGCAATATGGGCCAGAATGAAGACTAACACAATTGCCTAGACTGGCCAAAACTGACGAGCTGATTTATTTCCGGAGTCTTGTATGACTGCTGTTGTTGACCCATGAAGCTAATGTGCGTCTAAATAATCCAAGCAAAGGCGGAAAAGACCATACGTTTTCTGCTTGCTCAGCGAGGGTTTTCTCTCTGTATGTTCTCTTTAACCTCAAAAATTCTCCTTCAATGGAGGATAGTCTGTTTCTTCAGCAGGCTTCATCTGCTGTTGGAATTAGGGATCAGTTGGCCGGTTGCTTCCTTTGGTGGTCTCCAGTAACATTGGAATCTCCCCCTTTCCCCCGAAACCAAACTTATAACCTCCACCAGCATTGGGGTATGGAGACGAGTATCCTGTCTGTTGGTCTTGTTTTTTTCAAATTCTATAGGCCACCACGATACCCAGCTATAAATTTCCTCAATAAAATCAAACCCAATGTTCGTGGGTACAGAATTGGAAAGTAATTAAAGTTGCAGGTCTGGCTCTTCATAGCAGACAAGATTTGGAAAAAGCATTGTGTGTATCTAAGCATGAATGCACAGCTATTGGATACGGAAGTCAGATATTCAGCCTGTTTGACCGTCCATGCCAGCGCTGCAGCATCTCAGGGGATTTCAGTTGATATGAATGGATACAGGATACTTTGTAGTTAGCATATTCCATCTGTAGTTGATAGATAGATCGATCTACAATAACCTTAAGAACAGATAATCTCAGTAGAAGAAGTTTTGTCCTACGTATGAAGACATTACTAACTCCCATTCTCAGAGAATCCCAAAATAACCTCCGAATTCCCACCTATTCTCACCATGAAATCAGTCCCGAATCGCCAATCCCCTAAAAGAAAACAGAGAAAGCAAATCTCCGTAGATAGAATTTCCAATATAACCTATATTTCCAAAATAAATAAATAAATAAACAAACAAACAAAACAAATAAACAAATAAACAAATAAATAAATAATCCAGCCTGCCCTACACGTGCTCATCTACTTTCATAGGGAGGCATATAAATGTCACCACTAACCTCTCCCACCAAACAAGCAACCCATGAATCCTGCAGCTCCATCTGTCTTCCAACTCCTGCAAGTATGACTTGACAACTCTGCATGCGCCCATTACCCGGCCATTGCCGGATGGATCCAAGATAATAGAGATGCACTTGCGGGGCTTTGCGGGGCTTGCGGGGTCCCACCCCACATGTTCTAAAGGATAAGGTGGACCCTGGGGGAGTGACGTTGCAGTTGACATATATTGGGTGGATCGGTATCGCGATTACGCTATTTGAGAGCAGGGGACCATCAGGGTTATTCGGCTAGATGGGAATAGGGTGGGGAGGGTAGGAGATTAGGATCGTCCCGACTGGTTTTATTTTTTCTTCTCGTTTCTTTTAGTTTTATTCTATTTTTTCTAGCGTTAGCTAGCATGTTTACGTGAAGACTATGTGCTCAATTCGTGTGCAAATTGGAATGTTCGTGCGGAAACATAAGAAATAGTTCATTCGAGAGCAGATATGTTGAGCTGCAGGAACCTTTACGTGAGAGGCGGAGACGAGGCTGTTCGGGGGGGTCAATATTTAAATAATCGAGTGGAGGCCTTCAAATTGATAAGTCTATATTAAGAAATATTTACCTACACGATGGCTCAATTGGGGGAGAAAAGGTTACAAGCAGTTAAGCGGGGACTGAGAGTGGGGTACATGCTATGCTCCCAGATTGAAGGAAAATGATGAAGATTAAAGTGGGGACAAAATAAAATTACTGACGGAATGGACACCCCAAAGTGATATCAATATTTTCCACACGGACACAAACAGGGAGGAAGGCGTACGTAGGTGAAGGGAGGCACGGGCGATTTGAAAGCGTTCAAGGCATTTCTCTGTAACATTTCGTTTCATTTGTACAACACAGAGGGAGAGGAAGAGTAAGAGGAGGGGTGATGAATACAGAAAACTCGTCACGCCTCCTCATCCGACCACGGCAAACTGAATGTCCCCACCCACTCCTCAACTTCCTGCCTCAACTGCAAAATCTCAGGAATCCCTTCGCCCTCTCCAAGATACTCCAGAAACGCCTTAACGCTACCAGGATTCTTGCGTTTTTTAGCCTCTGCATTAGCCTTGGCAGCTTTATCCAGCTTCTGCGTAATCGTCACAGCTCTATCAACTATGTCTGCAACACGAACAAAGTCCTCTGGTAGAAACCCGCGCGAAGTCATCGCAGGCGTCCCAATCCGTAATCCACCAGGCTTCATGGCGGACTTGTCACCTGGCACCGTGTTCTTATTACTTGCCACGGCGCACAGTTCGAGCACACGCTCAACACGCGCTCCGTCGACGCCACGGTTCTTCAAATCTACGAGGACGAGATGGTTATCTGTTCCACCAGAGACAATGTTGTAGCCCAGTCCGCCGCTGTTGGTCGGTTTTCCGAGCCGGTCAGCAAGAGCCTTGGCGTTCTCTAGCACGTTTTGTTGGTATGTTTTGAATTCAGGTGTTGTGGCTTGTAGGAGAGCTACAGAGAGGGCTGTGATGGTGTGGTTATGCGGTCCACCTTGATGGCCTGGGAAAACAGAGGCGTTGATGGGCCCTTCTAGGTCATACATTTCTGGGTTGCCTTTGGAGTCAGTACGGCGGACGCCCTTACGGAAGAATATCATGGCACCACGGGGTCCCCGGAGGGTTTTGTGTGTCGTTGTTGTGACAACATCAGAGTATGTGAAGGGGGATGGGATTACGCCTGCAGCGACTAGGCCAGATATATGAGCCATGTCAGTGAGAAGATATGCTCCCACGCTATCAGCAATCTGTCGCATGCGTGAATAGTCAATGAGTCTGCTATATGCTGAAGTGCCCGCAATGAGAAGCTTCGGTCTATATAGAAGGGCCAGCTCTGCGAGTTTGTCATAGTCAATGAGACCGGTTGATTCGTCTAGCCGGTATGGTAGGGTCTCGAAATATTTTGATACCGCAGATATCTTCTTCGTCGGGGTCTGATATCCATGGGAAAGGTGCCCACCGTGTGGGAGATCCAAACCCATGATACGATCGTGAGTATTGAGGAGTGCGGAGTATGCGTAGAGGTTTGCAGGAGAGCCAGAAAGAGCTACATGTACAAAGCGCATCAGAATATGATTTAAGACAGTTAGCAGTCGGGAAAGCTGACTGACGTTGTACGTTGACACCCCACTCGTCCTCTTTGAGACCGAATGCTTTTAGTGCACGTTGCTGGCACAATATCTCAGCCTGGTCGATAAACTGGTTACCTCCATAATATCTTGCTCCGGGGTATCCCTCCGAATATTTATCTGAAAAGACAGGGTTAGGTTCACACGTATATATGATGTGGGATGGGGACTGAAAAATAGGGCGTACGAACTTTGCATAACGCTGCCCAAGGCATCGAGAACGGCTTGCGATGTGAAGTTCTCAGATGGGATCAGGTTGATGAAGTGTTTCTGGCGGTTTTTCTCCTATTTGGAATATTCAGTATAAATAAGAGACATCGAGTTGGAAAGATTTACGAACCTGCTGGAGGATCTTGTAAATACTGGGATCTGCCTCCTGGAGGTGCTCAGATAAGATCTAAATTCGACGTTGATAAACTTGCGTAAGTACTGTACGAAAGTGTATGCAATGGAAGCGGAACTGAACAGAGTGAAAAAAGAGAACATATACCTTCTGATGCCCATCAGGGTGAGCAGAAGAAGTGCTTCTGCAAAGAATTGGCACAATTGGATGGCTCGCCCAGCATCTAGGGAAGATAACTAGATGATGCGGTCTGGTGGAGTTCCCTACCACAGGCAGTAGCCGGGCTGCGGCCCGTCTCGAGCAGATGTTGAGCGACATTGGGAGCCCAAGACACAATCAGAGACACAATCAGCAGCCACGGAGATGAACTGGGCTCTGCCAACACACACGAGCAGAAACTAATAAACAATTGATGATGCTCGTTGCTCCCTGCTCGCTATTTCCTATACAAATTCTATGACCGTCGTTGGACCCGGCGGAGTGGATGAGCAGAGAATAGCAGCGCCACGTGATGTCGGCTGGCAGAGGTGTGCTTATGTAAGATAAATGTTGACTGTTAACTAGTTATAGTTAACCAACTAGTTATAAGTTAGTTATAACTAGTTAAACTAACTAGTATAGTTAACTAACTAGCTAGTTACTTGCATTACTATAATCATGTGCCTATATATATAGAGAGTTAGATTCTATTTGCTAGATTCATCATGATAATATTGATTTTCATGAGATTATAAAGCTCTAATTAAAAAAGCTGCAAATTATATTGTTATTATATATTCATGTATGATTTATACTTATTTAGTTACTATAATACTTTGAATTTATAGTTAATCTCAGATTGATAGAATTGCTGATTTATTAAATAATATAAATCTTTTATAAAATATTAGATTTAATAAATATCAATATAAGATAGTGAAATTTTTATTATTAAATTATAAAGAAAATACATCAATATCAAATAAAAAAGTTGACACCTCAATTGAAAATGATGACATATTGAATAATGTAAGTAATCATGATATTTTAATAAAAAACTTATAGTTATAAATTTGAAGATATATAGTTTTAATAATAAGTTAATTAAATGAAAACTATTAGAAATAAGTTTTCTATTAAAAAAATTTAATATAAATCTGATGAATTATGTTAATTAAAAAGAAAAAATATATTTACTATAATAAAAATTAAGTGTAAATTCAGAGCTAAATTAAAACATAATAAAATTAAATTAATATTATATTAAATAAGAATCAAAAGCATTTTAATAAAAATACTAATATTTATTCACTTTTTATATTTGTATATAATTAATAATTAATATAAGTTCATAATATATTAAATGTATTTATAAATTAATTATATAGAAGAAACTTAAAAGTGAAAAACATATTTATATAGTTAAAAAATTATATTTAATTTAATAGAGAGAAATTAATAAATAAATAACTAATTTTAAAATCTTTAATATATAATTTTTAGCTTAAATAAAAATAATTTATGTAAAATAGACTTATAGATAGTTTGATTAATAATTTAAAAATAATGATCAGATATTAAGATAAATCAGTTAATATATCTATATGATTTTTAAAAATTATTTTATAAGATTAAAGTTATCTTCTATGAGATTTGAACTTTAGCTTTAATTTTTTATGTTAAGTACTATCTAGTAGCTATTTTAACTATTTAATCATTTAAAAAAAAGATAACTTTATAACTATATATAATTTGCAATTATTTTATAAATTAAATTTTATGTTATTTTATTATAGATTTTTTAATTATTTACTTTATAATTTAGTATAAAAAATAACCTTACTGAAAGATCTATAGTTCAGAAAACTTAAATATTTAAAAAGTTAATTATGATAATAGTAAAATTAAAACAATCTGATTAAATATTAATAAATATTTAGTTCTTATGAAAACTAAGTATATTTATCTAAAATATTAAATAAAAAATAGCAAATCTTTTATATAAATTATCAAATAAGTTTTTATAAAAATTAATATAAATTAAAATAAAAAAAATAATAAAATTTCTTGAAAAAAAATAATAAAAGTAAGAGTAAAAAATCAATAATAATATATTTAAAATATATAATTACTTTAAGAATTATCTATATTTATAAAGAAAAAGTTTTTAATTTGAAGAAATAAAAATAAAGATGAAAAGAATAGTTTAAATTTGATATATTATGAAGTAAATATTCTATATAGTTAATAAAGAGTATATATTCCCATAATTAAACTAAAAATATTTTAGTTTTAAACCTAGATCAGAAGCTTTTATATTATATCTTATAAAGAAGTTGTTATAATTAAGTTTTAAAAAGTTGATATGTTAAAAATGATAGATAAAAAACTGCAATTCGTACTATAGCTGTAGAAAATATTAACCAATTTACTGAGGGGACAAATGTAACGGGCTAACGCCTGATTAGTAGTTCCTTTCGTAACCAAAACATCCCACTCGCCAGTCTCGTACGATCGGATCAAACACGAATCAAACATGGATCAAACATTTCATTTACCAGTCGTATGATCGGGCTATCCTTCTTCCGCCCTGATTCCTCCGCTGCATTATTCGTTCTTGCGAATCCACCCTCACGAATTCTTCCGTTTCCTTCCCTAATAATTCGACCCTTGTGGCTAGGAAGTGCTAGGACCATCTTCGGTAGCAACGTCTGCAACAATAAAAATCTAATTGAATGATACCTACGGAGTGCTGTATTTTAAGTTAAAGATTAATCTTATAGGTTTATTTAGCTAGTGCATCCAACCGCGAAATACTCAAAACAAGCCCTTCTTCAAATTAAAGGACGAAGATCGGAAAGCTAGCAGATAGCTGAGCAATTGATCCAATTTTCAACAGATTTGAGCCAGAGGTGGTTGAGAAATTCGACATAACACCACTAACTACTGCAAATCTTATGAAATTTGACTACAGTCCGGCTGTTATTTGTTTCCTTTGAATTGAAGAGAAAACTTTGTCGATGTCCCATTCATACCTACCAAGTCTCACATACGTACTGCCCTTTCAAAATGAGCTAGCTCTTTTACCTGGCAAAAAAGTGACAGTTCAGAGAAGATTTATTTTATTTTTATTTTTTTATTTTTATTTTTTTTTTTAAGCAAAATTGCATGCAAAATTCTCATTCTATAAATCTTTCTTAAGAAAGCTTAATTTGAATTAAAAATTTTAATATTCAGAATTGAACTTTTGGATATTTATGCATATAATTTTAAACTGATATAAAGATCTAGTTTAAGCAAAAATCTTGATCTAAGATTTTAAATGAAAAAACCTCAGTATAAAATTTAGATATTCATTAATTTCATATATCATATAGTTATATAAGTGTATTTTCTTACCTATGTGGCTGAAGGGTTTGAGTGCGGCTGCTAGGTGGCACTTGACATGACGTGGAAAATCAAAAGCCGTGGGTTCAAATCCCACAAGGGTAGTTACCTCAAATCTGATGAGATATTATTCAAATATCAGGCACGTCAACTGGCCCACATTAGATGACACCTGATTGGTATCTTTGGTACCATCAGTTAAACTAGCTGCGGGGCTACTCCACATGCAAATTGTCACCATTTCTAAGCTGAAGATCATTGTAGTTAACTAGTTAGCTATTGTAAATTACTTATTAATTTTACATTTGATGAAGTTTTAAATATTTATTTATTATAAATATATTATAGTTAATAATAATATTAATATATAAAAATTAAAAAAAAAATTAAAAAAAATATTATAATTTATTAAATAATTTATTTTTATTATATAATATTAATATTTTATAATTTTAAATATAATGATATATATATGCTAATAAGAGTCTTTTCTCTTGATTGAGAATTTTCTTGCTAAAGGGGTTAGGCATATTGAATGATTCAAGTAAGTTAGGAGTTTGGGATGAAAAGGTGAGTGATTGGAGTGGTGTAAGTGGTGGAATATGTTAACCAATGAACCAATGTTAACTAGTTTACTAGTTTAACTATAACTAGTTAGTTAACCATAATTAATGCTTAATAATTTTCAACGTGGGATACATGGGAAAATCAAATTCACAACCTTGGAATACATTGTTGCAGTGATCAACCTATAGACACAAAGAACATGCATCCATACAAGGTGCTACTATCGACCATGGAACCTGGAGACGATAAGGTCTTTACTGCAGCACAGGGATGCAATACTAAATATATAAAATAAAACATAAAATAAAATTGGAAAGCCGATCTATTCCTCGATAATCTATATTGATAGTTTATGGGAAGTCTTCGATGGTTCATCTCTTGACCCCTTTCATATGCTTATAAATTGCAATCCTTGGAACACATAAAACCAAATCCACGGTTTCGTGGATCTCCACTCCGAGCTAAATATGCTAACTCACTCTCAGATATTATAGAAGAAAGACCCAGAGGCTGGAACGGACCCACGAACGGATGAACGGCCTTTGTTTTGCTGTAATTAAGCAACCGTTTTTTGTTTACGAGATACACACACCATCTGTTCCATCCCTGGGCGAATCCTGATATTGTTTCGCTCCTAAGGACTGCTAGGAGCATAAGACGATGCTACAAGACTTTAACACATGCTAAGAAGATGCCAGCTCCGTCTCTCAGCACGACTTGCGGGAATGGTCCGAATGTTGCTCTTCCTGTGATGCATGGTAGAACACATCCATGGAACCCACAACAGATACGGAGTCCATACATACACCCACGGTTTCTGAAGCGCGGTTTGCTCCGCCATCCATCATCGAGCCAGCTGGACAAGAGGAGAATAATACAATAAGTGCCTGTCTAGTAATAGACGAAAGAGACTAAATTAAAATTACAGACCCGCAGACAACGCATGCCTGAGGAATGCATTGAATGAAATGAACGTTGGATTCGATTCTCCAACTTTCTGATGGATCCAGTGGGGATACCAGGTGCCAGATACCAGACACCAGACCGTTGAAAAGTAGTAACGTACTCCATGATTGAGCGGGGATATCATGGCCGGCTGGTATCGAGATCAATATGTATTTTGATAAACTTAGGTATCGTGGAACCCAGGCCGCATTCGAATGTTTGTTTAGCTCATGACGAACCTTGATGTTCTCTTGCAGCCTCACAAACGGAGGAGACCATGCTATCCAGCCTAAGATCTATTCGGCCAGGAGGAGCAGTGTTTGTTCCTCTCTCCAGTTCATCCTTGACAACGATCTCAGACATATTTTCTCGCCTGGATCCAGCCATGCTGAAGTACTGCGAGCGCTACAACAGAGGGCAATGGCATGCCGCTATCAAGAATGAAAGCTCATGATGCAAGATATCCAGACGTTATTCAGACGAGATATTCGAAATATACCGACTAATTTACCACTTATTCAGTGGCGATGCAGAACTGTGGAGTGTGGAATCATATTACTGCCTATTTTTAGCGGCACCACAGTCTCCATCCGTGTCCCTGTTTTCCCTGCGCCTATCTCTTCTTCTCTTTTTTCTATTTCTACAGCTTCTTCCTCTTCTTCCTTCCTCTCTTCTTCTCACCTCACTGTTGTATTCTTTTACACCATCCACCGTCGATTTTCCGGCTTTCCAACCGAGTCCATTCGTTAATTTTGTCTCTCGTCGGTGCTAATATCTCCTCTTTCGTTCTTTATATAAAACCACCACTCCCTCAATTAATACGAGTCTTGTCTAAATCTTTATACTCAAGTTTAATAATTTTCAGTTCTTTCACAATGCGTTTCGCACATATTGCTTCCTTGGCGGTCCTCATCGCCAGCGCGACTGCTAGCGTCAAGCGGCAAGTTGGCGAGAACGGCCGGGGGGGATCACGCCATCCAGAAGATCCAACTACAACAGATGTCTGGACCGTCCCTACAACCACTTATCCAAGTGACCATACAGAAAACAGGCCAACTCGCTTCTCATTTTCATTTACATTTCCAAGTTTTACCATTGTTTTTCCAACTGGTCGTCCGACGACCACATATCCGACCTCATATCCGACCACATACCCGACCACATACCCGACCACATACCCGACCACATATCCGACCACGTACCCGACCACGTACCCGACTACGTACCCGACCACGTATCCGACCACATACCCGACCACGTACCCGACCACGTACCCGACCATGCATACAAGTACCACTACGTATCCAATTGGATCTGGACATCTGGCCAAGCATTCAACTGGATCTGGACATCCAACCAAGTATCCAACTGGATCTGGACACCCAACCAAGTATCCAACTGGACATCCAGCCAAGCATCCAACTGGATCTGGACATCCGGCCAAGCATTCAACTGAATCTGGACATCAAACCAGGTACCCAACTGGATCTGGACACCCAACCAAGTATCCAACTGGATCTGGACATCAAGCCAGGTACCCAACTGGATCTGGACACCCAACCAAGTACCCAACTGGATCTGGACATCCGGCCAAGCATTCAACTGAATCTGGACATCAAACCAGGTACCCAACTGGATCTGGACATCCGGCCAAGCATTCAACTGGATCAGGACACCCAACCAAGTATCCAACTGGATCTGGACACCCAACCAAGTATCCAACTGGATCTGGACACCCAACCAAGTATCCAACTGGACATCCAGCCAAGCATCCAACTGGATCTGGACATCCGGCCAAGCATTCAACTGAATCTGGACATCAAACCAGGTACCCAACTGGATCTGGACACCCAACCAAGTATCCAACTGGATCTGGACATCCAACCAAGTACCCAACTGGATCTGGACATCCGGCCAAGCATTCAACTGAATCTGGACATCCAACCAAGCATTCAACTGAATCTGGACATCCAACCAAGTACCCAACTGGATCTGGACATCCGGCCAAGCATTCAACTGAATCTGGACATCAAACCAGGTACCCAACTGGATCTGGACATCAAGCCAAGCATTCAACTGAATCTGGACATCCGGCCAAGCATTCAACTGAATCTGGACATCCAACCAAGCATTCAACTGAATCTGGACATCCAACCAAGCATCCATCTGGACATCCGGAGCCTACAACACATCATCCAGCATCCCACCCTACCACTCATTTCCCAACTGGACAACAAACCACGTCGTACCCACTCACCACCACTACTGTTACAGTCATCACCACTTACTGCCCGGATCCTACCACTGTTACCTTTGGCACGACCACCTATACAGTTACGAAGGTATGCTTTCTCCATTTCACCCGTTTCACGTAATCCATACTAATTACATATTTTTTCAGCCCACCACGTTGACCGTTACCAGTACAGTTACCGCTACGATTTCAGTCACCACCACTTACTGCCCGGATCCTACCACTGTTACCTTTGGCACGACCACCTATACAGTTACGAAGGTATGCTTTCTCCATTTTCACCAATTTCACGTAATCCATACTAATTACATATTTTTTCAGCCCACCACGTTGACCATTACCACTTACGTTACCAAGCCGTGCTCAAGATGGTATGTTTCCCCCTCCACTCCTTTCCCCCACCTTCTTGAGTACAATGAACCAACTAACGCGCCTCAGCTCTACAATAACCCATTCCTATCCCTCACATCCTCACAAAGCCTCCCCTTCAACTCTAGTCCCAACTTCCTCGAGCGGTCCCAAGACCTCAACTTATCCAACGAAGCCCTATACCACCAGCCCAGCTGACCCTGGTGCCAAATCCACCAGCTACCCCCCAGCTGACCCTGGTGCCAAATCCACCAGCTACCCCCCAGCTCACCCTGGTGCCAAATCCACCAGCTATCCCCCAGCTGACCCTGGTGCCAAATCCACCAGCTACCCCCCAGCTCACCCTGGTGCCAAATCCACCAGCTACCCCCCAGCTGACCCTGGTGCCAAATCCACCAGCTACCCCCCAGCTGACCCTGGTGCCAAATCCACCAGCTCCCCCCCAGCTGACCCTGGTGCCAGCCCTACCGGCAACCCCGCCGGCCCAACCCCATCTGTCCTTCCGTTCACAGGTGCTGCTTCACGGGCTGTTGCTGGTGCTGGTGTTGGTCTTGCTGGCTTGATGGCATTGGCCGCTTATCTTTTGTAAGCGGAGCGATATGGTGTTTTTTTGGGGTGTTCATTTGGTTGATTTTTAATGGGATTGAAGATGAAGGCAAGTTGGGAGTGGAGGTGTGTAAAGAGAGCAGTGGGAGTTGTGTTGTGTTTGATCAAGGATTCGACATGCGAGTGCATGTTCCTGGTCTCCTCCTTTCATCCTGCTTCAAATTCTATTTATTATCCTCCTTACGCATACATATATGACTTTTCATTTCTCAAAAATAGTTTGTCTGCTACTTGAGCCGGAGTTAGCTTTTTGAGGCGTCAGCCAACTTCATACATAGACGTCCAATTATCGTCTGTTGGAATTTCTTTCATATTAATACTGCTGTATTTGTAGTTATTTCAACTTGTTATTTCCACAATGTGTGTAGGTATCAATTATTAGATTATGAGAAGTTGGAATGGTTAATGGGATCTCAACTTTTATTTATAGTTGTCCAATTGATATTTTAGAGAACAGTAACTAGTTAGTTTACTTAACTGCCAGATAACATATTTCTTGTGCTCTTTTATTTATTCAGTTATTATTATCTCTTTCTTGCTTCTAGTTTTATATTTGCTTGGATGTATCGCTGACCTTCTACATTTAATCGAAACAACAAGGACGGAGGGGCCATCCATATCCCAAATTACCACGGGATAAGCGACAAGCAAGCATATATCTCGATCCATTGGTCCCTTGCCAAATTTAAAAGGTCTTGGAAGAGCATGGAAAGTATTAGTTTATCCCAACGAGCCCGTTTAATTTAACGAGCGGGTTAGTTAACTAAATAGCTGACTGGATGTTGCCGCAGAGGTCAGTTCTCAAGCAGCAAACCGCACCGCACAGGACACAAGGACGCAGCTTGTCCAAACTCCTGCCTACAGTTGAGCATCGTTATCAGCAGTTAATATAGGAAGTCAGGGGAGCAGATTCAGCCAAAGAGAGGACTCAGTCGGCAGCTTGCATTCGTTCATCCTGTTGCAATCCAACTTGTTAACTAGTTATTTGTTAAGCTGCCGTGAACAAAGCTAGCCGCCAGCTTTCCCCGGATTCCATCCACATCCACACAGCGCGAAGCATATTTCTAGGGAGTTATCCATGGGATCCAGAGTGACAAGCTGTGTTCCTCCCGTTGCTTATTCCATCCAGTTTGGAGTGTTTCCATATTCGCAACGCTCTCCTACCTCGTTCCTCCACCGTGCTTCATCCCGTCACCTTCGTCTGAGCTTGTGGAAGCTTTTACGGGGTCTATGTGACAGTTTGCCGCATAAGGATTGGGGTAGTTATCATCCTTCTGTTGCTATTTCACAAGAAGAGGGTGATCTTCTCCATGGTTCGCTCGGCTTGTTAACCTCTTCCCCCCGCAGCTGTGGTTGTTGCACCGGACGACGTTGACTAGCAGGGGATAAAAACCTGGCTCGTGTGTCCCCTGGTAGATTACTGTACGTATATAATCAATTCTTCTTCTGTGTGCAAGATTCACGGCACGTAAGGCCTCATCCCAACTTGCTGCTTTTGCTTGTCTCTCAGTGTGCTTGCTTGCCTCTCATATAAACATACAGAATAGTACCCCTTAAACAAAAGGTGTGAAAACCAATGGGAATCGCAACTGTCGCTTCCATGAAGAGGAGCCATGATGACGACGGCTTAAGATTGCCGACGATGTTGTCTATATCGAGGGGAAACCCCGAGAGGGACGTGAAAATAGGAATCGCAAGGATGAAGTTGACTGCTTCTCCCAGCTCACGCCAGAGGAGCTGGTGTTGCAGAAGAAAAATTGCGGTGCAAGCTCGATATACTAATAATGCCCATTGTCATCATCGTTTATCCCATGAACTATACTGATCGGTGTGTTCTTTTCCCCTCATCCATTCAATAGTTAACGATATGTCCATATCGACTCGTTCTGTTGCTCACTTCTTGTCAGAAACAACTCTGCCGCGGCACGTCAGTCCTGGAAGGCGATCTCAACCCTACTCTAAGCTTAGCGCTAGACGGGGCTTTCTATTCTCCTTGTTCCATATATTCTCATGCAGGTTCCACCTAACCTGCTGCTGAACTATGTCAACCTCCCGTCGCTGTCCCCAGGCTTCTTCACCACAGTGTGGGGACTTGCTTCTGCTCTGACATCCCTGTTCACGAATTATGGTCAGATTGTCGCATGTCTATTTCTTCTTGCTTTAGCTGGTGCGTTTCCAATAGAGAGATCTTCTGTAGTTGTCTCCCTGGAAGATAAGCATGTATTTCAAATTCGAACCAAAACTAGAGGCCCCTTTTTGGCTGGTATCATCTCAAAATGGTACACAAAAGAGGAACTTGCCCTGCACATGTCCATCTTCTACTCCGGTTCCCTCATCTCCGGTGCCTTCGGCAACCTCATTGCTGCCGGCATCCTCAAGTGTCTCAACGGCACCCGCGGACTGGCACCTTGGCAGTGGCTCTACATTATTGAGGTTCGCCATAACCTGCTTCATCGGCTTAATCATCTGCATTATTCTTCCAGACTTCCCAGACACCTGGAAACTACTCGCACCGGAGCTCAGACGTGTCGCCAACAGACAGACGCCTTTCCATTGAATCCGCAGAAGTAGATGTCGACACGGGCTCTCGCGACATGAGCCAATTCACAGGCCTTATAACTCGTCTTTTCAGATCCAAAAACCCACATGCTCACCCTAGCGTACATGGCCTTAACCGACGCGAGCGTGTTCCAGAACCACTTCCCCACTCCAACCCTCCCGCTGGGGTACAGCGACGCCATCTGCCTTCTCCTCGGTCGCACCCCCTTACGTCTTCAGAGAAGCTTACAGACTCAATCATTCACATCTATCAGACTGTTTTGGTAACTGCTTCTGGCTCTTCATCTATTCCATTTCTATAGCTATAATTGACTTTATAATCTCTATGAAAACAGACAACAATGTCTTTGATCTGTGCTATTTCTTCTTTTTTTTAATGATGTTCATTCATCTTCACTATGAAAGGCATTTGCTATTCATGAGTTGTTGCATCAGCAATTCCATGACCATCTGTCAAATGCACTATTGTGCACACTTTTATAAATTCTGCAGGGAACTCAACACCTATATGGATAGCATTTACATATCATGATCAGAACAAGCTGTATTTCCTCCTGGTGCTGGGTGTAAGCATTAGCCTGTAGATTCTCATGACAGTCATGGTGTTGTCAATGAGACGGTAGTTGATCAGAAAGAATAGCAGCTAGAGAGGTTGGAGAAGATGGATGCACCTCTTAGTGAGCAGGGGATGGGAAAGACAGCTGAGATTTGAAGGAATTGAGCTTGAGAAGACAATTGATATTGTGGAATGGATTCATATATATATGATTTAAGTTCTCAGGTGACGGGATAAGTGCTTATTTTGAATTTTCCAGCTTGATATGTATATTCAATGAATGTTTTTGTCTGATCATGGATTATTGCTTCATCTCGCTTGATAGAATTCTTATGGTGCAGATGCCAAAATAGAGAAAAGGAGGTTCAAGCTGGTACATACAAACACTCCTACGGAAAGGCTGAAAGTGATTAAAACAACTAAAGAATGTATACAACATGAACACAAAGGCAACAAAAAGCAATTCCATACCATGCACTTGCAGGGAAAAACGTCCACAGATACAATCTGTAACCCCTAAACTCCTGAGGAAATTAGAAGGGCTAAAAAAAATGAATTTACAATTTCACACTTCCAACCCTCTTCTCCCTCTTCTCCCTCTCCCTCTCCACGAAATACTCCCTAACCCTCCTCCTCGCCACCTCCACAACCTCCGGGTCCTCCACCGTCGCCGGCACCGTAACCGCCTTTTCAAAATCTCCCGCCTCTACCGCATTCTCCACAAGCTCCCTCAGCACCCGTCGCAGCGTCTTCCCACTGCGTGTCTTCGGAATCATGCTCTTCCCGTTTCCGCCGTTCTGGATCATGCCACCCAGCGACGCAATGGCGCCGATTTGCTCGCGGACCAGCGCGTTTACGGCAGTGAAGAGGGACGCCGAGGGCATGGCGGGGATTGAAGTTGAAGACAAGGATGTGAATTGTGGAGGTTTTCTAAGTTGCACGAAGGCGAATGGGAGATGGCCTTTTAGAGGGTCTGGGATGCCGACGACGCTTGCTTCCACGATGTCTGGGTGTGAGAGTATGGCTTGTTCGATTGCGCCTGTTTTATGGTATAAATTGTTAGAATATGTCTTTTTCGTTGCTTGGTAAGTGAGTGGAGAGAGAGGTTATATTGTAGGGGTGTTTATATACGTAATACGAACCAGTACTAAACCGATGGGCAGCCACGTTGATAATATCATCAGTTCTGGCCATGACATGTACATATCCCTCGTCATCCACCATCCCCGCATCCCCAGTATCCACCCACCGCCCACCAAACCGCTTCAGATACCCCTTATAAAACCGCTCGTCATCACTAAACAACGTCGTAAACGCCGTTGGTGCCAATGGCATCGCCAGAACAATATTCCCCATAGTTCCATTCGGCACCTCATCTCCTTCATCATTGACGATACGCACATCGAAGCCTGGCATGGGTTTCCCCGCCGACCCAGCTTTGATAGGGAATGGCTGAATCACATTCCTGCTCCCATGTTCCAGGCCAATGGCACTACGCAGCGCGAGCCCGGTCATCGGTGACCCGGACTCCGAAGACCACCAGTTATCAATGACCATGGCGCCAGGGGCAGCGTACTTGTCAAGCAAATCCTGGTAGGTGCGGATAATGCTGGGCTCACTCCGTTCGCCAGCAAGGAAGAGGCCGCGCAAGTACTTCAGCCCCTTCCGTTTCCCAACTTCTTCAAAGTGACTGTTTTCCGGGTCCTCTTTACGAATAGCGCGAAGAGCGGTCGGGGCGGTGAAGAGGGTGTTTACCTTGTGCTTTTCTATGGTTCGCCAGAAAGTGCCTGCGTCAGGCGTGCCAACGGGTTTCCCCTCGAAGAGGACCGTAGTAGCCCCAGCCAACAGTGGACCGTAGAGAATGTACGAATGACCGACGACCCAGCCGATATCTGAAGAGCAGAACATGACGTCTCCGGGGCCCTTGATGTCGAAAAGGTATTTTATGGAAAGATTGAGGCCCACCGCGTGGCCCCCAGCCTCGCGAAGGACGCCTTTCGGGAGTCCCGTGGTTCCTAAATCAAGTATTAGAAGTCTATTATATAGAAACATTTTACGTAAATATCCCGAGTGACAACACACCACTGGTATATATAATATACAGTCCCTCCTGACTCTTTACGGGTACAGCCACAGCTCGAATATTTCGCCTCCTACCGCTCGTAACAATCCGCTGCCAATTCCTCTCGCCCTCCAGCTTCAACATGGGATTCCACCGCAGCTCATTCCGCTGCCAGACAATGACTTTTTCGGGCTTGAACGAGCTCTTAGCAATCGCTCCCTGGACTAAAGGTTTATAATTCATAATGCCCTTGCTTCCCTCGATTCCGCAGGACGCAGTCATTATGGCCCGTGGTTTCGATGCCTCAATGCGCTGGGCCAGCGATGTAGCAGCGAATCCACCAAAGACGGCAGCGTGGATGGCTCCCAGTCGTGCTATGGCGAGGGCTGCGAAGAGGGCGGCGGGTATCATGGGCACTGCAAAGCAGTTTTGTGACGACTATTAGCATGGTTGCATCCGTGTGGTATATTGCACATACATTGTACAGCATGCATTCACTCATCCATCCCCAACTACAACACAAAAACAACGAAGCATGATCAAAACAAAAGACCCTCATACTGTAAATCAAGACAACGTCCCCCTTCCTGACACCCTCCTCCCTCAACACCCCGGCCAACACCTCTACCTCCTCCAACAACTCGCTATACGTATACTGCTCCTGCACGCCCGTCACGGGCGACTCGTATATAATGGCCACATTGTCTCCATTGCCAGAGAGCACATGTCTATCAACGCAATTGTAGGTCGTAGAGATCTCGCCATCCGGGAACCAGGACCAGTGCTCGTGGCTGATGCCGCTGCGGGGAAGAACCTTGGTGGTCCGGCGCAGGCTGCAGGAAGGGGGTTTGTGCCAGTGTACTTGGGCGGCGTGGTGAGACCAGAACTGCTCTGGCGATCGGAGGGATAGGGAAAGGGTTGCGTCTTGAGGGTGGGAAACCATTGTGATCAATATCTACTCTTTGCCGGTGTTGCTGGCGCGGTTACAGGCGCTGGCACTGCTAATGTTGCTGCAGAGGGACGAGACCAGGACGAGGTAGAGATAAGAAGAGAGAAGGGGGTGCGTGCTGGTTGGTGTTGGGGGTGGGGTGTCCCGGGCAAGAGTATTAGTGTTGTTTTCTTCTTCTTCTATAACTCGAGAGGCAACTGTTGGTTGAAGCTCAGGTACCGGTGTCTCGGGGGGACGGACGCGGACTGGGGAATGCTAATCCGGCGAGGCAGCGGGTGAGCGGAGGTTGCACCGCAGCCCGTCGGAGGGGGGGAACTTGGGGGCAAACCGCCAATTTGAAATAGTCGCGGGAATTGGATGGATGCTGCAGAGAACCAAGAGAACGCTCATCGCCCGGTGGCAGTTGAGCAGATCTCATCCCGGGCGCTGGGTGATGTCCTGTCTGTTCTGCCGCGTTCCTACTGTCGTTTCTACTGTCGTTTCTACTGTCGTTGTCGTTGTCGTTGTCGTCCTACCGGTGAACTGGTTAGTTAACGTAATCAACCACCCAACGCCCGTTTACACTCAGCTGCAGGCAAAAATCACGAAATACAACCTTGAACCTGCGAATATCTACAACTTTGATGAGAAAGGATTCCTATTAGGATTCATTCACACCCTCAAACGTATTGTATCGATTAATTCGCTCAAATCGGGCCGTATGATAGGTGCCAGCCAGGATGGCAGTCGAGAATTCATAACACTACTTGCCTCAATTTGCGCAGATGGAACTTCGCTCCCACCTGCTCTCATATATCAAGGGGAATCAAGAGATATGCAAGATACTTGGCTCGAAGATTTTGATAGTGAAAAGGATCAGGCCTACTTCGCTGCTTCAGAAAATGGGTGGAGCAATGATGAATATGGGTTAATGTGGTTAAAGAAGATCTTTGAACCTCTTACAAAAAAGAAGGCAGGCCGCAGATATAGACTTCTTATATTGGATGGCCACTCATCCCATGTTAATATGGCATTCATCAATTACGCAGATTGGAATCGAATTCTACTCGCTGTCTTTCCTCCCCATTCTACACACCGATTACAGCCGCTAGATGTTGGGATATTTGGACCATTGGGTAAATCATATTCCAAACAACTGAATGAACGAATGAGAACTGGAATAGGATTCATACGCACTACAAAGAGGTCTTTTTGGCAGCTTTTTGACACTGCGTGGAAGGAGGCAGTTACATCTTCAAATATTGAAGCTGCATTTGCTGCTACTGGCCTACATCCATTCGATCCGGAACGCGTTCTTGAAAAGCTTCAAATACGACCTTGCACCCCCCCCCCCCCCCCCCGACGCAAGATATCAACCAAGAACACCTACTTCTATTGTTGGCCTGCGGAAATTGGTGAAGCAAGTCAAGCAACAGCAGCATCAAATATCTAATGATCTCAACTGGGTGATTCGTGCAGGGGAAAATCTTGCTCTTGATAAAGAGGTTCTTTTAATAGAGAATCGGCAGCTTCAAAAAGCTCTTAATCAAGAGAGGAGACGTCGCAAGCGTGGCAGGGCAATGGGGTTGCTAGATCCCTTGAATCCATAATTGGCGCAGTTCTTCTCGCCGGCAAAGGTGCAGAGCATCCGCGAGAATTTGGCGGCCTCAGAGGTTGCCAAAAAGGATGAGCAAGCTCGTAAGGAGGATGCAAAGCTGCAACGCACTATTCTTAAGGAACAGAAGGAGGCAGATATCATCCAGCAGAGGATGGAGCGGGAGGCAGATATCATCCAGCAGAGGATGGAGCGGGAGGCAGCTCGCCAGGCCACAAAACAACAAAAGGAAATGGATAAGGCCGCAAGAGCTGCTCAACGGCAGATTGACAAGGAGCTTAGAGATGAGAAAAAGGCTCAGGAGCAAAAAGAAAAGGAAGAACGAGCTGCCGTACGGCTACAATCATGATTGAATAAGAAGATGATTGAAGAATTCAAAAATCACCTTACTAATCGGGAAAGTAGACCCTTGATTTCGCAAAGAGTGGCTAAATCGCGTTTTCAGAGCCCTGCCAGGGTGCCCGCAGATCCACTGCCAGAGGGATATGACGATATTGCAATCTCTACTGGTTTAATGACTGCTTGCTCACTGAATCTGCCTCCACCCAAGATTTCATGTTCTGGGCGAGTTATTAAGCCAAACAAATGTTTACTGAATTAGCTATATATTTTTATATGTAATTTTCTATATATATTTTCATCCTATAATATATCATCTTAAAATCTAATTGCATTGTTGAAATAACGTTGAAAATATTTCATCATAGTGATGGCGAAATGGCGGGCGTTGGGTGTAAACGGGCGTTGGGTGGTGGATTACGTTATCTCTAACATCCCTTAGACCCGAACCCCAAGAAAGCCGAGGACATTTGGCCGGGGAATGATGAGGTTCAACCGAGCAATAATTTTAGAAGAGTGATAAAAAGGATACCGTACATGCAATCAATCAATCATCACAGGCGATGGATCTCATATATACCTGATAGAAATAGGAGAAACTTGATCCAAGCCGAATCAATCGTTAATCGTGCAATTGATGTATGGTCATACCAAAAAACATTTATTCATTTATTCATTTATCCCACGTATCTATCATTCGGTACTCTGCATCCCAAGGTCTATACAAAGAGAATGAGAAGAACACTAGAGAGCACACAATGGATAGAATTAAACCAGGATTGACAGCCCATTTCTTCTCATTCTTCCGCTCCATGTCTTTCCGTCATCTAGCCTCTCTGCAATGAACCGGGCCGCGCCGGATATGTAGAAAATGAAAATTCCACAAGACGACAACACACCATTCGGTAGCCAAGGGGAAACTAAAATGATAGAAATTTCGTGCATATTTTGACATAGGACCAATGCTAAGTTAGTTAGGCTATCTGCTTCATTGGTGTTGTTGTTATTATCTTTTGCCTGTCGCGTTCCAGCTCCTCAGCGCTCTGGTATGTTGCGGTAATCTCAGTAAACGCCATGGAAACACCTCCCCCTCCCATAGCCAATTCCCTATTCCCTATTCACTATTCACAAACAGAACGGTAGTTCTCCCGTATCGAGAGAAAAGAAGAATAAGGATCGAAAAACTAGGAATAAAATAAGTTCGTTTGAAAGGGATCGGGGAATCGGGGGATCGGGGGTTGGGGGGGGGGGGGGGGGGGGGGGGGGAACGAAGAGAGCAAGGAAAGGGGATGAACAAGGAACGAAAAGACATAGGGCATTTGTAACAGTGGAAAGGAAGGGATATAAGTAGGGAATGAAAGGTAATATCATATCGAAAACATCCTTCTATCATCGTTGGTGGTGGTGAAGAGAATTGTGCCATCTGCTCCAGCCTTTCAAAAGTAAAAAGAGATAAACCGGGGGTTGGGAAGGGAAACAATATCTCTCAAAATTTTCAAACGACAAGGGTACTCGGAGAGAGGCAGACGAGAGCGAAAAGGAGGGAGAAATAGGGTCCGAAGATGACGTCAAATGAATATGGAATAAAAAGGAGAGAAACTCGAAAATCCTTGAAATGCCGGTAACACCGTAGCTGGAGGAAAATGAGCACACAAGACACACAGATAGATACATGACGCGCGCACACACAGCCTTTCTTTAATGGAAATGCAACCCTGATTGAAGATCACCTGCGTAGCTTTTGATTTTTTTTGTTAGATTTTTTTAGATTTTTTTTATTTTTATTTTTTTGGAGAAAAAAATAAAAATAAAAATTTAGTTCAAAGTTTCATTGTTCAGCCCGTCGTATCCACCACTCTTTGCTCATACGAGAACTAACAAGAGAGGGCAAATAAGCATAAACATAGACAAAAGGCAAGGGAGAAAGCCAATTCAGACCATCTCAAGTTAATGCGCCGGAATAATGGGAGGAGAGAAATATAGAAGTGTGGAAAAGGATTGGGCCAGGGGAGATATCTGAGAGGTGCGAGAGACAGGTGGAATAACCGGCAAAGAGTAGCCATCCTGATCCGATATGTAGATAGCATGCTTCCGATATAGTTTGTTAATATTGCTAGTTTAGAGGCACGGTTGCTCAAGGTGGTTAGAGCGGTTGCATGATAGATGCCATTCGTTAGAGGAGATGGTGGTTAGAGTAAAGGAGATAAGATGAAATAGATATAGATGCGCCTGAATTCAACGAAATCCGCCCACCAACATACAATCTTAATAGAGATGAAAAGAGGTCGGAGATAAGAGGGTAGAGGATGGTGGTTATATCGGTTAGGGATTGAGATTGTTCGTTTTTTTCGCTTTTCGTTTTTTTTTTTTTTTCCTTTTTTTTTTTCTCTAAAAAAGTTTATGGGAGAGCTCCATCATTTCCCTCTTTCCACACTTTTCAAAGAATCAGACACTTGATACTGCTCCTGTGCGTCTTAGGACGATCGGTTCGGAATTTCGTGGTGTGTTCCTGGCCATTGTCCTTCTGCGTGCCAGGGCTTCTGTTAAGTGTCTGTCGAGTACCCTGTTGCTGTCGTTGTTGCCTAAGCAGGCGAACTACATCGTAAAACGCTTTCTCAACATTGATGCAGTTCTTTGCAGAGGCTTCGACGAAGTCGCATCCAAGCTCCTTGGCCAACGCAGACCCTTCTTGCGATGAGACGGCCCGCTCAATGGCCTTGTCGCTCTTGTTTCCCACAAGCATCACTGGAACTTTCATACCAGGGGTCGGCGGGTTCATGGGCGATGTAAGGTAGCTGACTCCCGTTGGGGACCCAGAGCTTGCAGATTCCTTCACTAATTGGATCTGGTGGTGAAACTTCTGTATCCGGGTGAACGAGGAGCGTGATGTGATACTGTAGACTAGCACGAAACCCTCACCGTCTCTAATCCATTGGTCCCTCAAAGCGGTATACTCTTCCTGTCCCGCAGTGTCAAGCACCTCGAGCATACATGCCTGCTGGTCAATGACAACCTGTTTACGGTACGAATCTTCAATTGTTGGGTCGTATGTCTCGACGAAATGGTTTAGACAAAGCTATTGTAATGTAAGCGTGTCGTCAATATTAACTCTCCATTCATCTAACTCAAATAGGGAGGGCCGGTCTGGTAGTATGAAACAAACCTGAATAGTAAGCGCGGTCTTGCCAACACCTCCATCTCCCAGCACCACCAACTTGTAGAGCTTCATTTTCCCAGCCATTGCTGCGGAAATTGCAACGCGTAGCCGCCAGTTAAATTGTCAAATCGAGAATGCCTTACTAGCAAAGGAGAAAAGTAGGGGGATGAAAGGAACGGTTGGATATGATTTGTTTATATTTTGGTTTAACAGAGTCCCACGTCTTTCGGACTATTGGTGAGGAGCTGGATCTCCGGTGGGATGCAACAAACGCCAGTAAAATAGCACAGATTGATATCGATAAGGAAATGAAACGGTAGCGGCAGGCAATTACTAGAATGCCAAGATCCGCGAATAGTAAACTTGTGAGGAGTGGGAAGATTTAAGACAGCTCTGTCCGCAGGTTTCTTCAGGCGACAAGTTTCAGATACGAACTGCAGACAAACAGCAGTTAGCACAAGGGTCAATAGGCTAGAACTGAAGAGTTTGAGGTTAAGACCAAGGTCACGAAAAGGATGTCTGGAAAGAGACAGATATCTAAAACTCTCGACGGACATCATGGAAAAGAGAAGAGCAGGCCAGGGATCAACCACACGCAAGAAATACGACACGGCGATAGGCTTTTGAGGCTGCACAACGGCGGGTCATAAGGAGCTTACCTCTGTGCCAATGAATGGAGAAGGTCGAATGAGAGTTACACACTGGCAAGCAGAGGCGTATATGTGTAAAAACAGAAAGTTTTAGTAAAGTAAAACCAGAAAGTGTCCGGTGGATTGCTCTGACTTGTCCGAGGTCGCACTCAGCAAGCGGGAGCACCTCTCTGGAGATGCGAGGTCACAGGCAGATGGGTGAGGAGAGGTAGGATCCGCAATATGTGGGTGGAGATGATTGAGGAGTGTAGAGAATTCCGACTTCTTTCCAGCAAGCAGCCAACAGGGTGGTTTGAGAACAAGATAGAGAAGAGCAGAGCAGAGCAAAAGATGAGGTGAGGTTGAGTTTGAGGTTGACAAGACGTTGAAGAAGAAGAACAAGAAGAAGAATAAGTTAGGGCATCCAAAAGCCACCGCCAGCACGTGAGGGACTCGGCAAGCAGAGGAACCAGAGAGGAGAAGAAACAGAACAACCGGCAACTAATGAATAACAACATAATAATAATTACAATAGTCCCTAGACAAATTAACTCTGCGGAATGGAATAAAGGATAAGCAAGAGCCGGGATAATAGAGGATGATAGGGTTGTATTCCTATTATTGTTATTTATTCCGTTTATTATTCTTTCGATTGATACGGTTTTTATTCTATAACTAAATCCTGCAGGTGTGGCTCGTGGGTTCCTAACTAACGCGCCCAGGCCCTGCAAGACTGCCTAGGAACGCCGAGACGACAGGGTCCGCTCCAGTTAAGAATGCTCCAATGCTTCAGTTAAACCACCCCCCAATGCCCCCCAATTTTCCCCTCCCCCCCGGGTTTTGGGATCCAAGGCAAAAAAAAAATAAATAATAAAAAATAAAAAAAAACCACATCTCTGACGAGGTTTTAACTGAAAATGAGGGGGAATTCAAAACTCGGCGCATCCTCTTGGCCCTTTAGCTAGTTAACCTTAATTCACTTTTTGCGCTTTTTGCTCTTCCCAGTCAGTCGCCACTATTATTCTCAGCTCCCTGCTTTTAGTTGCTCTCCCTGGTCATCCCTGGTGTCCGTTGTGTCGTCTGTCCGCGTTCTTGGGCTTCCTGTTATTTGCTCAGCCTTTTACCATCTGCTATCACGCCTCATATGTGGGAAGATACCCCTGACGAGAGGCAGCGGCTCTCATAAATCCACGGATGCCAGAAACGTTGGGAATCCCGGACCTCAAATGTTTTGACTCTTATCTCTTCTTCGAAGAACTTGTCGAAGGCGCGTTTTTAGATTGTTATTTTGTCAATATCAAAATGAATAGCGGGCAGCAGACGGAAAGATATTAGAGTAATACTGCAAATTGGTAGGGAGTAAGGGCCTTGGGGTTTTGTTCAGCCCGTTTTTATAAGTATTTACTCCCTGGTTACAGATATAAAAATTATTCTCTGAGGGTTTTCAAAACCAGGAGAGAAAAACATAGAGCCACATGTTAATTTTTCACAACTTCTTCACGCCACTTTATCAAATCTTTCCTCCTCCATCCCAACCAACTAATGGTGTTGTGGTTCCATGATCTATCGCAATCAGCTGCGAAACGGGATTTCCTCAGCTTCTCCAGGTCGAAGGTCAATCAAAAAGCACTAACAGCCTTTTTAAAGAAAGTTTGCACCCGGTGGCTTCTGCCAACTCCACAAAATGGCCCACAAAAATATTTTCAATTTCGTTTCTCCACTTCTTGCCATGCGGCACGCCGCACAGGGTTTACAGCCCAAAACTATAGACAGATCCGCTCGAAGTTGCTGACAAGTTTCCCGCGTTTCCCCATCTGCCATCTTCGGCCTTCCAAATTTATACTTGCCAGTATACTACGCATTAACTGACTCTTTATCTCTGCCACAGCATAACAGCTCTTCAGACCGAAGGCCTCGAGTTTACCAAACGAGGGAATAATATGCACGCACTGAGGAGCTAAGAAAAAGGGTTTAACGGCTACCTTTGTTTTTGAATTAACTATATTCTTGTCGCACGATTGGCCTTTTTAATTTGGCTTTCCGCCAGAAAGTAACCTGTTCATTCCGTACTGTTGAGCATTGAATGATGCGGAGGGTGCAATCATGATCCTCAATGCACATGGCTTTCTTGGCTGCCTCACCGGTTTGCTCGTTCGTCTGGCTCTCTGATCGCAAAAGCTCAAAACGTCAAGGCGTTTTTCCATCTCCGCTTCTCTCCCTCCGCATCATTGGCTGTTAAAGTAGCTAGCTAGTTAATGGCGGTATTCTTTCCTGTGTTTAGTTGCTGAGCAGGGTCCGCACGACCCATCAGCAGAATACATCCGTTCCGGTGCCTTTTTTTTCTTTTTCTTTTTCTCTCTTTTCATTTTTATTGTGGAATTGATCATGTCGATAGCAGTGCTCCATATTTCTCGCAGGCAGGTTCCACAAGAACAAAACATCCAGAGGTGGGGGGTGAGTGGAGATTTCTTTCGTTTTGCCATATTTTTGTGCAGTGGCCGCATCGACAAAACCCTTGACCATTTCGGCGGGCGGGACTACTCCGCTCGTTCGAGGGACGAGAAGCACACTAACTAACTAGAGTCTGAAGCCCTGACAAAATCCAAGCAGAACAGCGAAGTGGGACGGACAGCTTGACCCGGAGAGGAACTAGTTGGCTCTTTTTTTTTTTTTTTTTTGGGG